ATCACTAGTCAAACTTAACACATACCCATTCAAGGGACATACTGGACATTCCAAGCTATTCAGCCCTGAGAGGAGGAACACAGCTCGACAGCTGAAACCAGATTTGGCGGGAGATAAGGGCAGTTGGGTACAGCTGGAGACCCTGAGCCCAGCACCATGCACTGATGCGCCCCGATTCCAACTAGGCGTGTGTGCTCCAAGGAGGGCTCTGTGTGCACCCGGTGTGAACAGTTCGCGAGAGGAGTTCGAGGTTCCGAAGCCGGCTCTGCACGCGAAGGAGTCTTTGAACCAAAGCTGTGAGGAAGGGAAGGAAAATCGGTCAAACTTGCCGATCGAGAGAAAAGTTCCCGCAGGTGCCTCCGAGTCAGGGACTGTGTGAACCCGCCATACCGAGAGCTGCCCTCGCAACCACCAAACACCATCAACCAGCAATGGCCTAATGGTATTATCGCTGGACTGTTAACCCAGAGACCCAGATAATGTTCTGGGGACCTGGATTCAAATCCTGCCACGGCCGATGGTGGAATTTGAGTTCTATAAATATCTGGAATGAAGTCTCTGATGACCATGAATCCATTGTTGATTGTTGGAAAAACCCATCTGGTTCACTAATGCCCTTTAGGGAAGGAAACTGCCATCCTTACCTGGCCTGGCCTACATGTAATTCCAGAGCAATGTGGCTGATTCTTAACTGTCCTCTGGGCAACTGGGGATGGGCGATAAATGCTGTCTCACCAGCAACGCCCTCCTCCTGTGAATAAATTTTAAAAAAAAGGAACCAACCGCAAACATCCACTCAACGTCTAGAAGCGACTGAGAGCATCCAGAGACACAAGACTCCAACCGGGGCAAAGCCAATAACATCCACCACCATTCAAGACCACGTCCTGCTTGCAAGGACCACCAAGAAAGGAAAGAAACCCAAGGTATTCACCCGTCAGGTCCAACGCATCTAACCGCACCAGTGGACACCACGAGACTGACTGTAAGCAGCACTTGTGTCCTTCATGGAGTCCCAGCTAAGGCCAGAGACTACGGACGAGCTGGTCAAAATCACATTTTCACTCCAGTGTGAGCCTAAGGTCATCGAACCCCTCTAATCCAGCTTGGCTAGACTTAGATAGGGAAAGGTGCAGCTCGGGAGCTAATGATGTAGGGCACCCCTAAGGAGGGAAGCGGGTTAGGACTTTGGGTTAGCAGGTAGTCTCTCTTGCTCGCTCTCTCTGGTACCCACTGTATCTATTTACCCACTGTATCAAGTCTTGACTGTAAGTCTTAACTTGACCCCCAGTTAACTGTGAGACAGGTCTCCATCAGTAACAGTCAGGTTTGATATGCACTTTCTTGTTCTCCTGTAAGTATATTCAATTTGCTTGTTTTTCCAGTAAAATCAGAGTTTTCTTTTCCTGTGAAACGTCTGCCTGCCATGTTTTCCACCACACCACCTTCCACTACATAAGCCCAGTGTCAGAACCAGGGAGCTGGTGAACAATAAACCAGGTAGCACTCCCTACAGTGGTGCCACGAACTGTACACAGTATTCCAGTTGACGTCTAACCAATGTCTTATATTAGTTCATCATAACCTTTCTGCTTTTGTATCTATTTTTCTGTTTATTAAGCCAAGAAAACTATCTTTTATTACAACCCTCTCTACTTGTCCTGCCACCTTTAATTGCTTATATGCATGTACAACAAGGTTTCTCTGCTCCTGGCCACGTTTTAGAATAGTACCCTTTCTTTTATCTCTCTGTGTCTTTGAACCAAAATACATCACCTCACACTTCTCCACATTGAACTTCATCTGCCATCTATCCATCCACTCCACAAATATGCCAGTGACCTTTTGAAGTTCTTTACTGTCCTTCTCATTGTTTAGAATTCTTCCACATTTGGTGTCATCTGCAAACTTTGAAATTGTCCCCTCCTCGACCAGATCCAGATCATATATATGCTTTGAGAAAAGCAACAGTCCGAATTCCAATCCTGGGTGAACTCCATTATAAACCTTCTTTCAGCCTGCACAAAGATCTGTTAACCATTGCTCTCTGTTTGCTAACTCTCAGCCAATTTTGTATACACATTGTTACTTATTCCGTGACCTGTAGCTTTCTGTACAAGTCCTTTGTATGGCACTGTGTCAAAGCCTGTTGGAAGTCCAAGTACACCATGTCAACAGCCTTGCCTCTCTGCTACGTCTGGATATAACCTTAAGCAAATTAGATAGATGTGATTTTCTTTTCACAAATTTTCACTGAAGCTTCTGAATCTTTTTCACGTGAATATTTATCTTAGCCCGAGTAACTGGTTCTAGAAGCTTCTCCACCATTGAAAGGCTAAGTCTTAGTATTGATATGGTGACTTACATTTCTATAATTCACCACTACTTGTCATGCATTCCCTTATTTACATTAGGGGTTTGTATATTTCTGTATAGAGTTCCTACTGCAAATACTGTACTGACACACTCCTGAGAACTCCCCTGTAAATAGCTGCATGCTCCTGCGAACACCTAACAAATACTGACACGTTCCTCAGACCCGCTATAAATGTTGGTGTACTTCCAGGGAGCCCTTGGAAATGGGGCACTCCTAAGAACCCAGTGTCTTGACCGCTGAAAGACGGTTGCTGCTATTTTTATCACCAGAGATGAATTTTGTTTAGTGCACGACAGAAATAATTTTCGTGGTATGTGGGCATTGCTGGCTAGGCCAGCAATTATTACCCATCCTTAATTGTCCATTGGACAGTTAAGAGTCTGTCAATTTTTTTTTGTGTTTATTCACTCGTAGCACGTGGGCATCACTAGCTGGTCAGCATTTATTGCCCGTCCCTAGTTGCCCTTGAGAAGGCAGTGGTGAGCTGCCTTAATGGAATGCTGCAGCCCATGTACTGTAGGTGGACCCACAATGCCCTTAAGGAAGGAATTTCAGAAACTCATTGTCTGGAGTCATGTAGACCAGATAAGGATGACAGGTTTCCTTCCCTAAAGGACATGAGTGAACCAAGTGGGATGGAACAACAATCAAAAGTGATTACATGGCCACCATTCAACTAGGTTTTAATTCCAGATTTAATTAAATTCAAATTTAATCATCTGCCATGTCCCCAGAACATTAGCCTTAATACATAGTCCAGTGTTATTAACAATACAGCTTTGACTCGATTTAATTTGCTGGAAAACCTAAAAGTACAAAAACATTAGAGAATTCTTGAGACAGTTTCAATGGCATTACGCCTGCTTACAGTCGAACAGAATTCTGATGACCTCCTGGTGGCTGCGATCCTCTTGCAGAGCCCAGATTGAAACCTTTTTAATGCAGTGTCAGGAGTTGCATGTGTGATGTTTTACACTTCCACAGAGCTGGTTGGACTGTTATGTCATCTCCTGCCTCAAATCTAGAAGGCTGATGGCTAAATTAATGAGATTACTGCCTAGAGATAGCAGCTGCGCACAAATTCTCAACCTGCTGTACAAATGCTGCCTCCTGCGTGGGTGTTGAGTAGTCCCCAGAACGACATTAAAAATTAGTCCATTGCACATGTTACCTGAGGCTCTTCACTGGAAAGGTTTGCACCGTGTTAAAGACAAAGTTACTCAATTGTAGTAATTAAAATCTAAGATAATAAAAAATTAAAGGCTCTGTTTTGCCAGTGACTTCAACAGGCTGAGAACTGGTGGAGCCGAGCATGAAAAATTCCAGTAATCCCTTGCCAGGAAAATATAGACCTGGCTATGACAGTAATAGGAAAATCATTTTCTTCTCTGGTTACATTTCACAATCAAGCTCTTAAATGGAAAAGCAGTATGATGTGGTAAAATCAATTCCATTTTTATGCAGAGATAACGAGGTGTAGAGCTGGATGAACACAGCAGGCCAAGCAGCATCAGAAGAGCAGGAAAGCTGACGTTTCGGGCCTAGACTCTCCCTATTTATTTCAGAACCCCCTTCCCCTCTCCCTATTTATTTCAGAACCCCCTTCCCCTCCCCCATTTCTGAAGAAGGGTCTAGGCCCGAAACGTCAGCCTTCCTGCTCCTCTGACGCTGCTTGGCCTGCTGTGTTCATCCAGCTCCACACCTTGTTATCTCAGATTCTCCAGCATCTGCAGTTCCTACTATCTCCATTTTTATTCATTTTGCCTGGAGGGTTCTGTAGCAGTCTTCAGTTCTTGCCAGACTGCTGTGAATGCAAACACAAGAATTAGGAGAGGGAGTAGGCCATTCAGTTCCTCCTGCCCTCCAGTGAGATTGTGGCCTCAAATCCTATTCCCAGCTAACCCTGGTAGCCATTGACTCCCTTATCAGTCAAGAATCTACTCACCAGATATTAAGAATCGCTTTAAAAGTATTCAGTGACTATGCCTCCAATGCTCTCCAAGGAATATTGAATTAGAAGCAAGAGTAGGCCTCTTGAGCTAATCTGATTACTCCACATTCCTGCTTCCTGGTGAATTTTACTTGAGACGTTTTAGTTTTTAAACTGCTCATGTACTCTAGGACTGAAGTAAGCTCTAGAATTTCCTGTTGTAGCAGAGATCCTTTATCATTCAAGGGATGACTCAGCAGCATTTATTGTCCATCCCTAATTGCCCAGAGGGCAGTTAAGTGTCAACCACATTGCTCTGGGTCTGGAGTCACATGTAGGCCAGACTAGGTAAGGATGGCAGTTTCATTCCCCAAAGGTCATTAGTGAACCAGATGGGTGTTTCCCAACAATCAGCAATGGATTCATGGTCATCATTAGATTCTTAATTCCAGATATTTATTGAATTCAAATTTCACCATCTGCTGAACCCGGGTCCCCAGACCATTATCTGGGTCTCTGGATTAACAGTCCAGTGATAATACCACTAGGCCACTGCCTTCCCATGGAGGATATGGGGTAAGATGGAATGTCAGTCACTCGCAGTTACTTACATAATGTTTACTCATTTATGTATCTGCGCTTCGACATTGGATCTCTTAGATCTTGTCAGTGATTTCCCTTTTTTTTTTGCAGGCGTTGTGGACTGTTTGGATGAGCCCTGTGACTCGGTACTTATAGAGCAGACAGACCGAGGCTATCGATGCTCCATGGCTGTGCCTAGTGCTTTTTACAAGTGAGTTATAACTATTTGTGATTTACAAGCACGTTTCTGTTTGCCTGAAACAAAACTCTGGCTCTTTTCCATTTGACCTGAAAGGTCCAGTTTCCCAGCCAACATTCCTGATTCAAACAGCACCACTGAAAGCAGGTTAATTAGCTGATCATGTTCCATGCAAAATAATTGGTGTACTTAGTTGCATGATGTGCCTCTGACCTTCCAAGAAATTCATTTATTTGTGGTGTGTTTTGCTATTATCTTTGAAGCAAGCCTCCTGCAAAATCAACTGTGATGCTGGAGTGGGATGTCGGAAAATGCTGCACTGGTCAGGTCCTGTTTTCTTAATTTTTTCTTGGCTAGTGTTTTCTGGGAGGACAAAGAAAAAGCTTCAAAATTGCTTGGAAGCTGTCTTGAAATGCAGGGGCATTGACACTAAGGACTGAGAGGAGCTGGTGACCAATAGTTCCAGCTAACCATCAAGCGGTATCACTCTTTGAGTCCAATACCCATAATGACGAGGTAGAGAAGTAAAGAAAAGGAAACAAGTCTTGCACTATGCGTCTCACTAGCCTGTGAGAAGTCTTACCCCATATTCCCAAACAGCTGTAGGTCAAAGACTGGCCTTTTCAGTGACATGAAGACCCAGAGCAGAAAACTGCCACCAAGCTGATCTCATCCTCCTCCAAATTGAGGGATGACTGACTATGACACTTTGATACTCATAGTATGAGAAGGTGCTATGCAAATGCAAACGCAAACTTTTCCTTATTCTCTATCGCACTTGGGGATAATGTAATACTGAAAGTCCACACTCAGTTATAAACCCAATCTGATTTGATCTTCTCAGGAGCCTGATTGTCCACTACTAGACTTTATTCTAAATTTGTGAACGTTGGCAATTAATTTCTGACTGTTCAGAAAAAGATGTTGGCGCTAAGCCAGAAGATGGAACTGTTCTTGGCAACAAGTAATGAAGAGATGGTAGGAACTCCCGACGTTGGAGAATCTGAGATAACAAGGTGTAGAGCTGGATGAATACAGCAGGCCAAGCAGCGTCAGAGGAGCTGGAAAGCTGACGTAAGGGTCCAGACCCGAAACATCAGCTTTCCTGCTCCTATGGCGCTGCTTGGCCTGCTGTGTTCATCCAGCTCTACACCTTGTTATAACAAGTAATGAAGATTGCTTTAGTCAATTTGTCTTTGTTTTTCTGTGTTGCCACTAGGTGGCTGTGTACAATGCAACATACAGCTCTTACCTTCACTTTAAAAACCCTTTTAAATGTATCAACTCCCCCAAGATTTTCTTATGGGCTGAGAGGGGGGATGGAAATGAGTGGGAGGGAGAGAGGTGGTGGCATTGGAACAGAGAAAGAGAGATGAAGTTATTGACTATAAAGCTATTGTGCTAGAAACCTTACGATTCACTGGTTCAGCCTTGGGTGAAATAGTGTGGACAGTTTTGGGGACCACACATCAGGCAAGGTGTAAAGATCTTTGGAAAGGGAACAGAGGAGACCTAGCTGGATATTATTGGGGACGAGAGGTTGCACTTTGGAAGAGAAAGGGTTGGTGAGGTGACTTGATCAAGTCTTTGGGGTTGAGAGGCTTTGAGTAGGGTGATAACCGGAATACGTAAATTCAAAATAATTTAGTGTGTAATCTGGAGGGGAGTTGAGAATTTTTTTCACTCAAGGTTGTTGGGAGTTGGATCAGCTTACTAGAAAAGATCGTGAGAGCTGATTGCTTCAATAATTTTTTTTTTAAAAGTTGGTCAGTTACTTGAGGATAAGGAAGTTTTCAAGGTTATCCCCTAAAAAAAACTTGGAGATGAGACTAAGCACAACAGCTCCTTCTAAGTGCTCGCAGTTCCTTCAGTTGCTCTAAGCTGTGACTTTTAACTGATAAGCCATGGAGATTTTCTAAGTGAACCAGCCACCCTGTGTCTCTTGAATGACAGACCAAATGGCTTCGTCTTGTGCTGCAAGTTTCTATGACTCCTGAGAGGGGACAGCATACACCATAGCAAGGCAGCATGGTACAGGGAGAAAATTCCAGGGGTACGAGGAATTAATGATGACTAACAGCAGTTCTGTCAGGTTTGGGTGGGGGAGTGTTGGGGTGCATTTGGCAATTAGAGAGGGGGGAGAGAAAATAGGGGTTATTGTCTGGTTAGAGGGGATTGTGTTGTCAATAAACAGACATAAAGACAAAAAGCATTTTTGAAAGGCCATTTGGTCCAACAAGCCCATATACAAGCTGACTGAAATGCTGAGTGATCTGTAGGTGTGTACCAGACACTGGAAATTGATACTTCCTGAGTTATACCTAAAGTTGAACTGTTTTTAATAGAAAATGCAATTTGGATTGGAGAGGTTACGTGTAGATGCCTAGCCCCGCATGCTCTGTATCAGCTCAAGAAGAAAATTCATTGCATTTTTGAGAACAGTTAGGAATCAGGCAATAAATCCTGGCCTAGCCATTAATGTCCACATCTTGGGAAATAAAAAGTAAAATGACCAGGGTATGATTTGCATTTCATCAGTAGGTAACCGGGGCAAGTTTGTGCCACTTCTCTTTAATAGAACTGATGCAGTTTTATTGATGGGGATAACTTCCCCTTCACTGAACCTATAACTGTCTTAAGTTTGTTTGATTTTATTGTCACATGTGCCAAAATACAGTGAAAAACTTTGTTTATGAGTGGTACAGGCAGATCACAGCAAGCAAAGGATGTACAGAGCAAAAAGACTTCGAGGCATATAGGTTACATTGCAGGTTACATTATTTGAGGCTAGAGTCCATTCAACAGTCTGATAACGGCCAGGAAGAAGTTGTTCCTGAACCTGCTTGTGCGTGTGTTCAGGCTTCTGTATCTTCTGCCTGATGGAAGAGGATGTAGCAGATCATTACCAGGGTGCAATGGATCTTTGATGTTGGCCCCCAGTCCTCGGCAGTGAGCCGTATAAATAGAGCCCGTTGATGGAAGGCTGGCTTCCGTGATGGTCTGGGCTGTGCATACCACCTTCTGTAGTTTCTTGCAGGCCTGGGCAGAGCAGTTGCCATACCAGGCTGTTATGCACTCGGACAGTACGCTTTCAATGGTGCATCTGTAGAAGTTGGTGAGGGACCTTATGGACATGACAAATTTCCTGAGGAAGAAGAGGCCCTGTGCCTTCTTTACTGTCACATTTACATGGGAAGTCCAGGACAGGTCATCAGTTATCGTCACTCCGAGGAACTTGATGCTTTTCACCCTCTCAACCTCAGTTCTGTTGATGTAGATGGGGGTGCGTTCTTCTCCCTTCTTTCTGAAGTCGATGATCAGTTCTTTAGTTTTGCTGACATTGAGAGACAGATTGTTTTCATTGCACCACATCACCAAGCCTTCTATTTTTGGAGTGAGGTATTTCTGCCTGATAAAATCCATCATAAGTGGTTCATGCTGTAAACAGTGTATCTTTTTACTTTTTTGGTCAGTTTAATTGTGAAATGAAATGGGACAACGTCTGCTTTTTTAAAAACCAAGATTTGTTGAAGGATTACTGCACTTTTTAAAAGGAAGCTACCTGACTCATTGTAAGCAGTAGTGAAGTCTGGTTACAGGCAAGGCAGAGATTGTGTACGAACGGGGCTTTGGCCAGCAGCAAGTAACTAATTGGACTGTGGGCTCTTAACTGGTTATCGATGACAAAGGCCTCATGCCTGCCAACAATCATGTAATTGACTCCCAGGTAGCTGTTGATGTGCAAGTTTAAGGGAGAAGCTATCAGACCTCTGGAAAGGAAGCAACTGTGTTTTTCTCTGCAATGAAAAGTATCTCAAGCCTGAAGATAGCCAGCTTATTTCCCCTAATCAGTTGATATAAGCTGTGGCTTTAATTAATAAATCAGAGACCTTTATGAATGAGAACTAGTCACCCTGTGCTCCTACAAATAAGTGAAAGGACTTGGAGAAGGTAGATCAAGAAGCAGCGTTCTGATCAGCAAAAGGATCATCTCTCAGCACGGACAGGGAACATTGAACTGTCTGCCTAGTCTTGCCATCCAGCTATAACACACGTGGTTCTGGTATTTTTTTGTGTGTGTGTGTGTGTGTGTGTGTGTGTGTGTGTGTGTGTGTGTGT